TCTAAATAACAGTGGATTTTGTGTGAATATGTAGGAGAGATGCAAAAGTTGATTTTTTACTAGAAACCAGCGTATAGGCCTTGAATATGTTCAGCCGTATATATATGTTCGTGAAAGTTGCTACGATATTCCTGGGATATATGTGTTCCCGCATTTTCAGAAATGCGCAGAACACACAAAACCCCTAAAAAAAGACTGTCCTCCGATTGGACGGCCCCTTACTTTTGGCATCATCTTTCACTGTTTACAATGCATACCTTGGAGGGAAGAGCCATTTGGCGGGAAGAGAAGCTGACGAGAAGAGGCATAAGACGAAATGGAAAGGCGGTAGGGAGAAAAATCCGGGAGCAAGAGGCACCATGGGAGACATTTGGAGAAATTTGGCGCGAACAACCGAAGATAATACCAGGAGGAGCGGGGAGATGGCGAAAGGGGGGACGGTCTAATCAACTTTTGCGAGATAATTCAAACAAGTGGTACCAAGCAGAACGTGACTCCGAAAGCGGATGTAATCGTTCATTTCATCATACAGAATCAAATGTGAAAAATTTTATTAAAATTTTACAACAAAACAGAATCTGACACAATGGTCGAATTGACGGATATTGAAACAATGAAAGAATCGCGGATTTGACTCAGATCAATGAAACTGCTTCTGTGTCTGGCCCACTTCGAATGCATTGGCCACTGGGATCGTTTTGCAATGCCCATCTGAATGTCCCTGGCCTTGTGTTGTTGTTGTTCTTGCTAAGCACCAACGCCTTGACGTAGTCGAATCCATCAGTTTCTTTGATACGTGCCTTGCTTCCGAGCTCTCGGTAGCTGTATGTTCAACACATTGAGAAAAGTTTCGGGCTTCCTTTAACTGCGTATGCAATAACAGTTTTTCCCCGTTAATCGATTTTCGGAAAAGAAAAAACTCTGAAAAATTTCGCAAAAAGTTTGAAGCAACAGTGCGCCCGAAACATCAGCTGAATTGATGGATATTGAAACAATGAAAGATGGGAATCGCGTGGATTCGGCTCGAATAGCGGAAAATGTTTCCGGGACAAAACCTCCTCCTGTAGAAGTACAACGGTCGATGCCGCTGTCGAAGTATGCTACAAAATCTTCCGGCGGAAGCACGCTTTCTTCGGGTGCACGCCTCCATGCCCCGGACAAACCACGTGAATATGATAGGGCGCAGTGCTGCGTCGGAGCCTTCTGCGCCCGTTGCCAGCTGCCACTACACCGCAGTCTGCGAGGAATCCATGGAGCAAGCCGTCGTCCTAGTTTTAGCGCTTCATTGCCATCTGTTTTCGTCCATCTTTTCCTCCCGCATTCGCAGTTCCAAGCCAACTGTATCACTCGATGCCGATAACGAAAACCAGAAAAGTGACAATGACTTGATGGGGCATTTCAATTCTGCTTTTATAGTTTTTACAACAGCAGTATCCATGCTTCACAGGTGCATATATGCAAATTTATTTCGATTCTCATCAAGTTATTATTCATTAATCCATTGCAGTGCAAGAAAGCAACTAAGTTACTTT